GAGTCCGGTAGTGCAAGTACGTTCTGCACATGCATGTTGATGCCTCTCACCTTCGACCTGATCAGCACAAACGGCCTGAAAGCAGGAAGATCTAAGAAATTGGGTGACCTTTTTGTCGCTTCTATGCCACAGAAGATCCTGGGAAATTTCCGCGCACAAGGCTTGTGCATAGGTTAGTCCGGGTTCAGGAGATGCACTGAAAGCATGTCCAGTCAATCCCCATCAAGAACATGTGAAGTTTCAGGTTCTCAACCTGCTTCTTGTGCCTGCTCCCAGGCGAGCCTCTTGAGCTTGGAATGGATGGGGCTTGTGTACTCAACTGTACACCTGTTATCTCCAATTAGAGTACGGGAGTGCAGTCAGAGCACCTCTCTCCCACTCTATCCGACTTGCGCTTGCAGTGACGTATCGGAGTCTTTCGAGTAAGTCGGGCATGGCTTGGCGCAGGCTCTGCGACAGAACTTTCCCAGGAACTCTGCGGTGGAGTTGACACTTCGGTCGCTGGGAGGAATTATGTTCCACTGATTCTTATTCTTGGCAATGTCTGCCAACCCACTGCGATCGCTGGCGCAGGTCAAAGCAAGCACTCTGTGTTCTCATGTCAGTATGGTTCAGTCATGTTCTGAAATTGAAATATGTTTGTTTACGTAATCGAGGTTGAAGCCACATGCTCTCCGTCCCTATGCCAACTTTATGAAAAATAATGCAAACCTTCTCATGTATGAACATGAAAACGGAAATCTGGCTTCAAGCGAGTTCTTGCCAACCATGTAAAAGGAGTCTAAGCTGCTGTGTCATGAATCCCCCAATGACATGCCTTGGAGCCTTGGAGTGCGCTGTCAACTCGCTGTCTGTGAGATTTGAGGCCTGGATCTCGCCATCGTGGCGATCACGCGGCTACCATGTTCTTTGCTTGGCCGCGGGCCTCTGCGGCGAAGGCGCAGCCCATCGCGCTCGTTTCCTCATGCCCGCTGAAAAGTGCTCAAGCCCGGGGCATCCTAAATTTGATGTAGCTCGTTTGATTGCAGGCAGCATGGAGTTGCCTGCATTGATGACATAGCTGATTCACAACTTTCTGGCTGCCCCTGGTCGAAGGCAGCGACGAGGGCCGGTGTGCTGCTAGCACTCTTGCACAGGCCAGCATGCTGCCTGCAGACTCAAAATTTCGAAGGAGAAGTAGTCCTACTACGAATCGGATTCCTTTTTACTCCGTACTCTAGTTACTACATTGTCTCTCTCTCGGGGCAGCTCGCGCAGGTTTGTTGGTCCGGCTTTCTTGGCGCCCCTGGACAGCAAGCTAAACAGGCGAATGATCGGTCAACGTGGCTTGAGACTGTAATCCTTGAACTTACCGAGGACTGCGAGGACAGAAGCTGGTTTCGAGCTGGCACGTGGCGGATCAACAGTAATAGCTTCATCTACAAAGCTTGGCATGGTCTTTAGCCATGGCCACGATCGCTCACGTGTTTGAGACACACATGACACATGTCTTAAATTCAGATTGCCGACGCCAGAAAGCATGCTGCTGCTGACTGCCGCTTCTCTTGGAGGATCTGGATGACCTTCCACCTGAGCTTGCGCAACAGGGAAAACAAGGACGGTGCCGCCGGTCCGAGAACGTAGAAGTCTTTTCCAGCTCAGTGACACAGTTTGTTGCTCTTCCAAACATGAATTGTCTACACAGGACTGGTTGCACTGCAGGACCTGTTGATGGCTAGAGCCCCAGACTGGGCTCGAAGACGTAAGTGGCCTCTGCATCGTCTTGAGCTGCTGTTGAGGTTGCTTCAAGTCAGCATCAAGGGTTCTGGAGGCTTTTGACTGAGATGAAATGGGATCGCACGTGTCATGTGCAGGCAAAGCGTCCTCCGAGCAATCGGTGGAGATACGATGCTCTGATGAAGGACGGGGCAGGGAAGAGATGAAGTCAGCCTCTGGTGAGTGTTACACCTGAAACGAAGCATGGGCATGTGCATCGCACACCCCATGTACAGACCGCTGAAGGGACATGTGTTGCTGAGCACTGCTGCACGTGGCACGATCCGCGGAAATGACATGATTTTTGGAAAACTGCTGCGCTTTTCCGCAAGCTTTCCGGCACAAGCAAGCGGTTGCTTGGATGGCTGCAAAGACTCTACGGTTAATGCGACCTCGAGGCCGGATTTTTCCCCTACTGTAAGGGTTACGAAAGCTTTAGCACAGGTTTGCTGCCATGGCATTGCAGTAGCTGACTCGCGATTCAGAAACCCCGATAGCAAGCTGTGAGCTGGCGATGTCAATCCTTAGAAGCGGCTGGTATATGATGACAAGATGTCGCGATAAATGAATAACCGAGTGGACCGTCAGCGCTTGATGCTGCAGCGCAATACATGCTAGGCCTCCATGCAGTTCAGAGCTGTCCGGCCTGTTGTCTCAAGACCACCTCCTGATGGTCGGGAGGCTCGGCACCGCCATGGAAGCACGTGTTGAAGTGAAAAAGCTCTCAGAGCGAAATCCAGAAAGCGGGCACGTTTGCTTGGCTTGCAGGCTGACATCTCGGATGCCTCTGCTCAGCGACAGAAGCTAGTGGTATTTCGCGAGCAGTGGAAGGCGAAGGCTCCACACAGACCTTGCCCTTCTCATTCGGCCTCAGTTGTTTAGACGGCCAGAGGGCCATTCTGTATTGCTTCGGTGTTTCTGCGTCAGGAGGGCATTCAGCATATCCTTGCTTAAGCCCGAACACCGTGACTTTCTGCGCACTCAGCAGAGAATGCCCGCATGCCAGCCGTCGGAATGCTCCTGAGAGCCGTGGAAGTCTGCATTGGCCGACAGGTCCTAGCCAAACCGGAGGATGCAGCGGCCTTTGCACGGCTCGGTGAGGTCTGTGCACAACTGGATGAGGCCCCTGCATTTGCCATCGACCTGTCGGTTAATTTTGTCCTTCCCCGCGAGCAGGTGGATGGCTTCTTTCGGTTCGGACAGCAGCTGTCTGCGCAGCATGCAGAAGCTTGGCGTCCGGCAGCGGCGACCTTGAAGGCGGGCGGCCCAACTCGACCCGAATCTCCCTTCCCCCACGGCGAAGTGCACCGCAATTCGACTCGTTCAACCTCGCCTGGCTTGTCAGACAGGGAGTGTCGAAGGAGCTTTCGAAGACTAGCTGGCTTCGACCGACCGGTGACAGATCGTTTGCCGTTTGCCCTCATAGTGTTACCCTTCAATGGACTGCGAACGGCAACTCTCATCAGGCGAGTCCATGCGCTCCCACGGTCAAAGCATAAGTGCTGTTATAAAAATTAGCTGCCATTTCTACATTGCGCTCTCCCTCAACTTCAACAGAGCCATCCTTCCAACTCCGGCCCGAACACTTTTCTTTTCAGTAGCTGACTTTGAACTGGTATCTGTCACGGGAAGGTCCTCGCCCCGGACCGAGCGGAGGAGATGAGAGTGGAAACAGCGTAGCACGTGCCAGCAATCGAGTGAAGTGGGCACAGCTTGCAGGACCTCCTCTTAGGCGTGCTTCACCTCCCGAATGTGGACAGCCGGGGTCGCGCAGAGGCCGCTCGCAAACATACGAGATTTGACTCGACCCTCGGGCATGACCTGTCGCTGTTCAGCCACGCAACATCTCATCTCGGGCGCACCAAACCCCGGAGAAGCGAGGCATGCAGCCAACTAGGCCAGCTGCGGCCACAGGCAAGATTCAAGTTCCGACGTTCTTGCAAGAAGCCGTTTGAGGGTTGAGGCAGCTTTGGGCAGTAGGGAAAAGATGAAGGGGTCCGACCGACGCTATCCGTCAGAGCCGCAACAAGCAAACAAGCAACGCTCCCTTGCATGTGCCTGCAGGAGGCAGAGAAGTGGTATCGACAGGCCGAGCACTTGGTTTGAAATTTGGCATCGTGGCATCTTGGCGGAGTGGATGGGCGCTGCAGGCGCTGGCATGGGACCCCGACAGCTCTGCTGCGCTGCGACTGGCTGAGGCGTTTGGAGATGACATGTGCTTAAGCCATGTGCGCTGGCTTCGTAAGACTGGGTGACCTTTGATTGCTTCTCCATCTCAATATCAAAAGGTTGGGGGGGGACAATCTGGAAACGTCCAAAGACACGGATTATCGGATTACCGCTCATAAGCGAACTGCAAGAGATAGCAAAATAGCGGACATGTCTCAAGTTTAGCGTTGACTGTGCCTGTGCATCAAGGAAATCTCGCTATCCTAACCAGTACTGGGGATGTCCGTGTCTTGCGGACTCCACAGCGGGATCTTCTATAGGACCTAAAGTGCCAGCTTTGAATCTCACGTCAGACCCTGGGCGAGTCTGGGCGCCTCGCCGAAGCAGCGGCCGCCTGGCCTGGGGGTTTGTAGAGCTACACCATGTGTTTTTCACATGCGGGAACCAGGAGGGGATGCAAGAATCTGCTGAATGCAGAGCAAGTGGGAAATCCAAGCATAGTTCACTATGCATAGTCTGTCTTTGCATACTTCCAAGGAAGCCACAACCGCTTGCTTGGCCCAGGAGATGTTTCAAGTGGCAGGCATGAAGCACGAGCTCAAGCCTCGCCATCTTTTTCAGCACGGCGAGGTGCGACTTTTGCAAATTACATATATTGAGATAGGTCGAGAGCGCAACGCATGTTCGAACACCATTGAAGAGTACTTTGAGCATCTTGGAACCACCCACGAAGTCCTCTAAGTTTCCTAGCCCCGCCCCTCCCCCCGCTCTCCCAGCATCAGAATCCTGCAACACGAGTTGCTTACCAACGCACTTGTGCAAGCTGATGCGCTGCAGCTTGCTGAAAACATCATGAACTGATTTCAATCTGTGCGACAGGCGCTGGTCCTCTCCGAACGGTTTGACTCCGGCCGCGCGCTGCTTCGCAAAGCGGCTGAGGCGCGGCGCAGGCGTTGCCGGTGTCTATAATTCCCAGCCGGAACCGCAGGACGGTCACAGAGGCTGCACCAAACACTTTCGGCACCTTTCAGCTAAGCCTGGGCATTGCTCGAAAGGCTGATTTGTCTCTGGCTGCCATGGCGCATGCATGCATGGCGGCTTAGCTGCAGCTCTGCAAGCTTCTGTCGAAAAGCGGCTCGCTGCACTGAGGCTTTGAGCTATCTTCTGCAGCAGCAGATCAGCCTGGCCATGGACTGCTGCCATCAGGCGGCCATGCAGCCCTGGAAAGCGAGCCTCCTGAGTCAAGTCACATGGCGATTTTTTCCGACTCAAGACGGCAGTGTCAGCCAGGCCTTGCAGAGACCAACTGCAGCAAACACGGAGGCTGTAGGGACTGCGGGGTACTGGGACCCTAGCATGGGACAGGATTGACAACAAAGAATGCACAGACAGGGCTATTCTGCCTTGACAAGGCCTTGCATCTGGCACGTTTCCTGAAGAGCTTCTGCCACCTCCGCAACTTTGATGTCGAGGCGGCTTTGGAAGCTGTGCCTGCCTGAGACGACCATCAGCATGCTTGAGCAGGCGTTCTAGTCGTCGGCGAGGTCGTAGGCTTTGCTCCCACCAAGTTTTCAACTGAGGTTTCAGAAACGCTTCAAACTTGCGGTGGTGATAATCCACTGCGGGAGAGCATGGAAGCTTTCAAGGTCCGTCTGCAGGCGCATAGTGCAAAACAGCGAACAAACAGGCGGCCGAAAGGACACGTCAAGAACGACTGTTCAGGCTTAGTCAATGAGGTAGTGACGAGGATGCTGGCCGAGCCCCAGCACATGCTATCTGCTAACAAAGAGACGCTGCTGCATTGACAGAGGGATGCTGCGCAGGCAATGCTGCCAAAGCCTGGACAAGCAGATGTCATCCACATGGCTGACAACTTCGACACGCAAACCACTGCAGCTGCTCGTCACATCTTGCAGCAGATAGTCCAGAGGATTCTGCCCAGACTTGAGCTGAGGCTTTCTTGCATCTCACGCTTGGCCAGTGGGACGACGCCGAAGAAGTCCTACAAAATGCTTCGCGTCAGCAATTATTGCATATGAATGTCAGCGTCAACATGAGGCAACGGCGACGTTTTCTCGGCCTTTTGAATGGCTGATCTACCAGTCGCATTGATTGCATGTAGTCATTGCTAAAGGAAATGAGGAAGCTTCTCCCAATTCCTTGCCAAACCATGCGAAGTGCAGACTTCAAGCCGCTTCCTTGTCAGGTTTTGCAAGGCGACGGTTGCTGCGCCTGTGCTCAACCCTGGTTTCAGAAACCTCGACGTTCCCTGCATTGTTTATGTTTCACCGAGGCCCAGAGGCCCTGCTGATGCAAGCGCAGCTCCTGCTGAGAGCCTGGGCAGAAAGGCAGAAAAGGCAGAAGTCCTCGTTGCTCGTTGCGATAGGGATCGCATCATCTGAGGGCAGAACAAGTTTGGCTGCGCCATTGAATACCTGCAGAAATGCTTGCGCCAGTCCTTCACTCTTCTCTACAGCAGGAGCTGGCGTCTCACAAGCACGCAACTATCGGGCAACCAAAACCGTATCATTTAAACTTAGCAATCCATATGTTGTAGACATGATCCCGTCATGCCAGGAGAGAGCAGGTGCTGGTCCATTTGCTGGCCTGCCTTTGTTATCATCGCCGTGCATCAGGCCGTTTGTTCATGAAGTCGCCCATTTCATCATTGATCTGGCAAAGCGCCTGCTGCAAAATCAGCCCACCAGCAGGTGGAGATGCATCTCTCTCCAGTGCGGACAGGAGCGAAGTCCTTGAAAACTCACCGCGACTGAGCGAGGGCAGCCCTGCCACAGGTTCGGGCGGTGCCTAAAGCAACAAGCCCACTCACAGAGTGTCACACTTCTGCTTTTCTGAACCGATCTCTGTTTTAATCGTCTGCCACGTACTGACACATGATTCACGAACATGTTAGCTGTTAGCATATGTTAGCATAGTGGCTTGCCTGACTGGCTCGTCGGCATTGCTTCGAGAGGTCAGTGGCGCGCAAGCCTGATGCGCTTCCTCACGGGACGCACCGATGACGCAGCAGACGCAGGTTATGCAGCGAGCGCTGCGAGAGAAGGTCAAGAAGCTGGACCACCCCCAGGAAAGAATGATCTCAACACTGCCTCAAGGCATTTCGCATCGGCCATCGAAGTGGAGCCGCAAGTCAAAGATACTATAGCGGCATGCACAGATGCAGTCAACCTAACGCTTCTGCTTCGCAAGCGAAGTCTTGCCATCGAACTGGATGCCGAAGAATCCGGTATTCTCTTTCAGCATGCTCTGAATTCACCTGCAAGTTCTGAACGAGGCGACCTATTTGCCCCGCCAAAGATGCCAGCGCTCGTGGGTACTGCCTCTACGGCCATGCCGGCCAGCGACAACCCTTCTCGCCAGAACTCTGAGACTCAGCTTACAGTCGTTAACGACAGCAACACTCCACCCACGATGGAAAGCATCTCGCGGACTCTCTCGCAAGACCGGCTTCTGAATTTCGCAGAGCTAGAATTTGGCGAGCTTTTGAGCAGAGGCGAGATCACGATTGTGCAGAAGGCTGTGCACCGCGGTTTACCCGTGGTGGTGAAAGCACTCCACTACGAAGGTTCTGCATCCAGCTGTGAGGCTGTGGAGGATATGCTGGCTGAGATTAAGATTCTCACCAAGCTCAGCCACCCACGACTGGTGCCACTGGTTGGGGCATGTTTGGAAGCTACACAGCTTGCTTTGGTGACTCGGTTAGCCCCGGGTGGAAATCTGCACCATGCACTGCACGTGCGAAGGCACAGTTTCAGCAGAGAGGTTTGCTTTCAACTCGCGATGGACTGTTTGGAGGGTGTGCGCTATCTGCACTCCCTGCAACCACCCGTGCTGCACCTGGATTTGATGCTCAGTCGCGAAAGTGATATCGGGATCGGGGCTCCTCCGGCCTTGGCAGTGCAAAACTGACAGTGTTCAAGGGTGTGAAGCATCCTCGAATTCGGTTGCAAGGCGTTTTCAAATGGCCCCTGCAAATCCTGTCATTAAGGAAGTCAATGAACCTGGTGCTGGACGTGGATATGCAGCATCTTCAAATTTGCCGCTTGGCCGGATGGCGTGTTTCGAGTCGAGAGCTTGGGGGTTGCGTGTGCTTTCCAACTGCTTTCGAAGCTGCTTCAGAAACCCTCTGCCACGTTTGATTCGTTATGAGCATCTCAAACCGTGTCTACATGTTGCATGGGAGCCTGAATCATTGAAGTCTGCAGGCGACTTCGGCCTTTCACGCTTGGCGAGTGCAGGACGCCGCGGGCTGGGCAGGGGCGGCTCCCCAAGGCGCAGCGACCAGGTCACGTCAGTCAGAAGTTCCCAGAACAGCCATCAAAACAGTCGTCGCTGTTTTATGAAAATGCTTTTGTCTGTTTCGAAGGACAAACATCGTTTTATTCTCAGCAGCGGAAAAACAGCAGGGCGGGCTAAGAGTAGTTGACTTCCAGCACGTGCAACCTGGAAGGCATCAGTTCTCACAATGAGGTTGCAGCGCATGTCGGTTGTACAAGGGGGTACTGTAGTTGATTGATTGAATTTACCGAATTCACGATTGGCACGCCTGCACCCTGCCTTGCGGACTGTCGTCGAGCAATGCCGGAGGCGAACATTTGCAATGACTGAATCGTTACGGCTGCCCGATTGTTCATGTGCTACGTTTCGCCTTTGAGCTTTGGCGATGTGCTTCCTTGCATCTTTCCATGCGAGAGTGGGGCTTCGAGGC